TATATATATATATATATATATATATATATATATATATATATATATATATATATATATATATATATATATATATATATATATATATATATATATATATATATATATGCAAAGATTTGTAATACCTTTGCTGTAGAATTAGGTAAATTAATAAATATATATATATATATATATATATATATATATATATATATATATATATATATATATATATATATATATATATACATATATATATATATATATATATATATATATATATATATATATATATATATATATATATATATATATTTATATTATATATATATATATATAATATATATATGTATATATATATATATATATATACATATATATTATATATATGTATTTATATATATATATATTATATATATATATATTATATACATAGAATAGAATAGAATAGAATAGAAAAGGTGCTGTACACACTTGAGGTGTGTAGAGTCTTAATTACGTAGAATTAAGACTATGACAGCCGATTACAAAAATTATTGTTCAGAAACCGAAATAATTATCGATACTGTTTTTAAAAATGTTCAAATTATCTTTATCTAATATCCATTGTGGAAGAGAATTCCAATCATTTATAACTCTGTTTGTAAAGAAATGGTGACGAACTCTTGATTTTGTAAATTGTCTGCGTATTCTACAATTGTTACTTCTACTAGATCGCTCCAGCTCAAAATTTAAAGGAGGATGGTGAAAATTAACAATATCTTTTCCTTTTGAGATCTTATACATTTGAATCAGATCACCTCTTCTTCTTCTATCAAACAAAGTTGGCAATTCAAGTATCTTTAATCTTTCTTCATACGATTTCCCCCTTAAAGATTCAATTTTAGTCGCCCTGTGTTGCACGATTTCAAGATTGTCAATGTCCTTTTTCCAAAATGGACTCCAAACTGTTGCTCCATATTCCAAATGGGGACGTACTAACGATTTGTATAGTAACTTTAATGAAAGTTCATCCAAATACTCAAAAGAGTTTTTGATCATGCCTAATTTTCTGTTTGCTTTACCTATAGCTGAATTAACATGATATTTCCACTCTAGATTATTTGAAATGAAAATCCCAAGATCATTTTCTATCATTGTTTCTGTTAAAACAGAGTTGTTCAGTTTATATTCATATCTTGGATTCTTTTTGCCAATATACATGACTTTACATTTTGATTCATTAAATGTAATTAACCAATCTTCAGACCATTTAACTAACCTGTTAATATCCTCTTGTAATATTTTATTATCATCATAACAATGATTGATTGAAATAACTTTGGTATCGTTTGCATATAATTTAGTGTCTTTATTAATCCCTCTACATAAGTCATTAATGAAGATTACAAACAAAAGAGGTCCGAGTACTGAACCTTGTGGTACTCCACTAGTAACCATCTTCCAACTTGAAATATATTCCCCTATTACAACCCTCTGTGTTCGGCCTGACAAAAATGATTTACACCAATTTAAAAAAGATGATACAAATCCTAGTCTGAATAATTTTTTCAGTAATTTCGTGTGAGAGACTGAATCAAATGCTTTTTTGAAATCCAAAAATAAAACATCAACAGAAATATCCTCTTCATACGCTTGCGTGATTAAATCTAATGTTTCTAACAGGTTTGTTATACAACTTTTGTTATTAACAAAACCATGTTGCTCTTTAGAAATTAAATTGTTTTCAATGAGGAACACCATCATATGATCTTTAATAATTCTCTCCATAACTTTACCAACAGTTGATGTTAATGAAACTGGTCTATAATTTGTTGGATCTAGTTTATTTCCTTTTTTAAATAACGGAACAACGTTTGCACATGACCATAACTTTGGAATAGATCCTGTAATAAACGATTTAACAAATATATATATATATATATATATATATATATATATATATATATATATATATATATATATATATATATATATATATATATATATATATATATATATATATATATATATATATATATATATATTTATATATAGGTATGTGACATAAAATTTTTAAATTTACAAAATATTATATTGTTATATATCGTTAAAAAGAGCAATAATACAGTATTTCAACGGTGAAAAAATTATCAAAATCGAACAATTCAAAAAAAAGTTATGAGGTTTTTAGTGACAATTTTTGAATATATGAAATTGTTAAAGAAACTGTGGTGAAAATAATTTTTTTTGTATCAAAAATGGTTAAAACTATGCAAATTCTTGTTGAAATTTCTATAATTTGGTATCAAAAGAAAGATGTAAGAGTGGGCTACAATTTTATAGTAGCATCTTGCCATAGGGCGTGAGTGGACGGCTAGAGGGGGCCCCGAACTACGACTTTTACCACCAAAAAATTGAATATTCTATCATAAAAAAGTATTTTAATACTTAATATTGTCTTTTTTATCAAACAGAAGTTCCAATATTTAGATCCCAGCTCACCATCATATATGAGATGTGTACCTTTGAGTTAGGGGTCGATGTGGTGGTGCTTGTTTAACACGTATTATTAACAAAAATAATTCCTTTTTTATAAATAATATTATCTCCAATTAGATAATCTAGAACAAAAAAATTTAAGTTTTACTAACCACTAGTTGTACTTTACAACTAGTGGTTAGTGGTGTATAACTCGAGTCAAGGTGAGGGGCGTACACCCGCGCAGCACCGCCCCTTCCAATCTCCTTCCAAATTAAAAAAAAAATACTTTACTACATTACAACTTGTTAGTATGGTATACTTTTACTTGAGAGGTAAGGGCGTGCGCCCGCTTTCGCCTAACCGCCCCCCCCCAATATTTTTTTTGTCAATTTTTGTCATTTAAAAAAAGAAAAATTTGTTTACATTTTCAAACGTCAAAAATTAGTATAAACAGACATTTTACCACTTTACAAAAAGCAAATGTTTATCCAGTTTCACATAGGAAAGAGAAATAGCCCCTCCAATCTAAAATTTTTTTTTTAACTTTAAATTGAAAAATATTGTTAAAAATAAACAAAAATTTTAACACTTTAATTTTTAATACAAAATGTGTAAGAGTATTTAAATTCTTAGACAAAAGGCTGTTTGATTTTTTAACATCTAACCTAAAAAAACATGTAAAATGTTTTAAAAATAAAATATTTAAAATTATGTAATTTAGTGTAAACAAAATACCCATTGTAATTAATTAGTAGCTTGGCTTTTAGTAAACAATTTGAAATTCCACTAATGAAACAAAATGTGTGCAAGTCACAACACTTCTGTACCAATTTTATAAGTCACAACATTTGCGATACTTTTCAAATGTTAAGACTTTTCAAAGTTCTAACATTTGCAGTATCTATTTTGGACTTACCTTTCAATTATGAAAACAATACATATTAACATTAAAAACAAATAATACACATTAACATTAAAAAAAAAAAAATTCTCTTGATACAACATCTAGGGCCAGCTGGAATTTTTTCATGCAATAATTATCAGCTTCAGAACCAGATTCATCTTTTTTCAAGTAAGAGATAGTGTAAATTTTGTCATGCAATTTTTTTTTTTACTTTTTCTACTCTGCCATCGTATACTTAGATTGTTCAATATCATACCATTCATGATATAGTTTGCTACTAACAATTCTGTCAGACATAACATCATCTAAATCATCCAGTTGCTTTGTAGCAACTGGATGATAATTGTTTATACAAATTCTTAATCTGGCTGAAAGTCATTAACTTAAGTTTTTGTTATAATTTCTTTCTATCTTGTTCATCCAACATTTGATGCTTGCATGTCTGTCTCTTATATAATGCAGATCGATTTTGAGCATGTTGTAGAAAATGGACCATTAATTACATTTTCTTACTTAGTTAGTAATCTAAACTATCAAGATAATAAATAGTCCTATTCTTTTTTCATCTTATTTTGCAAGAAATATAACAAGTTGTTGCATTAGAGGATCTTCCTTTACATTCACTTATTCCTTTACATTCAAGAATTATATAAAATTGTTGTATTAGGGAATCTTCCCTTAGATTCACTAAACACACCAATTAACTCTTCACTATCTATATTGTGAAACCTTGCACTAGCTGTTTCCTGCTTAAGTGTCTCTGTAATGAAAAAGGAGAAGTACCTTTTACATTGTCTAATCAATACATCCTTTACTGAATTAAGACAAGCTGAAGTCATGTTAATAACCTGGTCATCAATGCAGCATTAATATGTTATTGGTTCAAAAACGTTTGAGGGAAGCATTTCCCCCAAAAAATCTGTTGCTCTGCAAAACAGTGCAGCCGGATTAGATTTGCAAACATTAACTGTTTCCAAAATGTTTTTTAGAATCTGAATACCGGTGAGATGATCAAAATTTGCATCCTCAGCTGATACATAAAACTTAGTCATCCACGGACCACTTAGCAGTTTCCCAAATACACCAAGCACACACATTTTTTTTAAAGTGGTAGCATTACAAAATGCTTCTCGCAGAGCTGCTTGCAAACTGTTACATTTGACTGTTCTAGTGATCAGAAAATTTAGAAAATTAGCATAGTGTTTAATCAATATATGACAAGTATTAAAAAGAAAATATGAAGACGGTTTCCTCGATATCTAGGGATGATACACCTAGGTAGTTTTTTGTGGTCTTAAAAGTTAACAAATCCCTTGGGATCGCTTTCACTGTCTTTAAACCTCATCTTATTCACAGCTAAATCAATTTTGACAGCTACATAATCACTGCCAAATAATTCAAATTTTCTGTTTCTAGACACATCAACGCTGAGCGACATTCAGTAGCAATTGTATCAAGAGGGTGCAAATAAAAATTCAATAAGTTCAGAGTTTTACCCCAAGTTGCACTAACTTTGCTTATGGTTAGATGGTTAACTGCAACTGTCTGATATTGTGATGGAAATATTTTTAATACTCAATTAACAACACTCATCATAATTATGTAAATGAAAATTCGAATAAATAAAAGCTAGATGATCTACTGCCCTACAATGTAATCAATACAATGTAATCAGTACAATGTAATGCCCAAAAATGTAATCATCAGCTTTTCCAGGTAATATTCCATTTTTTTTCAAAAATGGAATATTACCTGTTAGCACATTTGACAACATACTAAAATTTTTATCCTAATGTTTAAAGATTAACACTTTACAGTTTCAGACATAACAGGAATTATAAAGACATTTTTTTTTAATTCCTTACTTGAAACAGAAAATTAAAACTACAAAAATTATACAAAAATTTTTAAATACAAATGTCACGATTAAAGACATAAATACCTTACTAGATATGGTAATATCCAAAGATTTTCAAAATCTTTCTGAGATTGTTTTGTTTACAAAAATGAATTTTTTGTTTACAAAAATCAATCTGAGATTGATTGATGAGATTAACAATGATTGTTAAACAAATATCTGCTTTTTATCTAATAGAATATTAAGAATATAAAAGAATATTATTACGAATATAAAAGAATATAAAAGAATATTATTTTATCTAAAAGAATATTAAAGAGTAAACCATAATATAATGTATTTATATTATATACATAAATTATGATTTAATAATAAATATAAAACAATGAAATTATAAAAATAACGACAACAATAATAATGACAGTATTATTATTACTGTTATTGTTATATACATAGTATGTAGATTCGACTTTCTCCTCCAACCACAACAACACCCATCGCGAATTTGTGAAAACAAAATTTAGGTACCAAAACTGCTACACTTTTTAAATTATCTGCTACATATTATTTTTTATTGAAATTTGGCAGGTGAATAAATAAAGGATGTAAAAAAATGTCTCAGTAGTTTTGCAAAATGTCTCAGCATTCCATCAATACAAATTTCACGTGACAACATCAAGTAAATTTTCAATATCTATAAAGTCAAAAAAAAGTAAATCATCCATACATAATTGATTCATAAAAATATGCATCTAAGTCTCTTCTTTTCAAAAATAATCTATGTTGATATACTTTTCTAAAAAGAAACACCACAACAAAACGTTTGTCTGACGCTACCTCAAAAAAAATTCAAAAAACGTGGCACAGAATTTTAGCACAAAATTCGATTCCGTAAAACGGCTATTTCCGCATACCTAATATATATATATATATATATATATATATGTATATATATATATATATATATATATATATATATATATATATATATATATATATATATATATATATATATATATATATATATATATATATATATATATATATATATATATATATATATACTATTCTATAAAACACAAAGTGAAAAGTCTTGGTGCAATTTTTGTTAAAATTCCCTTATTATACTTGTAACTTAGTTACTCTTTTATTTAAATATTGAATCGATAATAGTTTATAGATCATAGAGTATAGAATATAGAAAATTAAGAAATCTTTGAACGATAAATAACTAAACAAAATAATAGTCTTAAAATAATCAACCAAAACAAGTAGACATATTTAATTAACCGAGTTAGCGCATAATATTGTATGCGCCAAGTTGATAGTATTAATTTTTTCTAAGGTAATTAGGACGTCTTATGTAGGTCTTAGCGACGTCCTTAGGACGTCTAAATATTGAAGTCCTGATATCGTCTTTATATTAACGTCACAAGGACATCCTAACAAAGACGTCTTTATCAGACGTCTTTAGGATGTCCTAATTTGGTCTGAGACGTCGCGACCTAGTTAAGACGTCCGTAAGACGTTTGATTCACGTCTGTGCCCGCTGGGAATAATACATATTAATAATATGTATTATTCCTGTGAAAACAATTGTCTATGGTTAGAGTTTTTAAAACTGTACCATAAGGATATAAACTGTCAAAACTTAGACTCACCTTAACTGAACTGTACTTTTCTCGCTTTCATTCCAGCAAAGTCGTCAATAATGTCATAAAATTGATTTGATTGTTGTGTCAGACTCAATTGATAACGTTTTTTTTTTTTTTTTTTTTTTTTTTTTTTTTTTTTTTTTTTTTTTTTTTGTTCTTTTTATTTATTCAAAATAAGTTTTACAATATAAGAATGAATAAAATACGTATAGTCAGAATTACAATTTTGTTAACGTTACAACAAGAACGCGGATACTCGCAGAAGATCATATGATCTTGTCATCGAGAACCGCCTAAACAGTTTTTAAATAATAAATAATCCTTTAATAATTCATAGACAAATATTCACACATAAATACAAATATAATTATTTATACATATTTAAACATACAAACATGTAAATAAATATACTTACACATCAATATATATATATATATATACACATACATATAATACGCACAAATACACATACATATATACGTACATACATAAATATACATACACACATACATACATATATATATACATATATCCATATATACATATATACATATATATATATATATACATACATACATACATATACACATATATACATACACACATACACACACACACACATATACATATACATACATATATATATAAGTTAAGATAAAAGATTTCGTATATATAAATTACATTAAAATATTTCTTAAGAGTATTAATAAAAAACAAAACAAACTTAAAAATATATCAGAATGTTTTCAACTGAGAAAAGAATTTCTTTTAATTTTCTTTTAAATAAGAAAAAGTTCCATTCAAGAGAGAGATCAAAAAGTTTTAACACTATTTTGTTCCATAAAAATGCTCCTCTAAATGAAATACAAAATTTACCAAAATTAGTTTTGAAAACTGGTTGAAGAATAAAATTTTCATTACGCAAATTGCATTTATTTTTAACTTTTAAAGAATATAAATTGTGAAAAGAAATTGGAGATGTGCGAGACTTACATTTAAACATAAAACACAATACATTAAAAATATTAAGTTGATATATATTAAGAATATTCATTTCGTTTAAAAGAGGCTTAGCATGATAAAATCGATGTTTAAAATTAATAAGTCGTGCAACATGTTTCTGTTGGCGATAAAGTGGTTCTAATTTAGTTTTCCTTACACTACCCCAAGCCGCATTAGCATAGTTTAGATGGCAATGAATAAAAGAGTCGTAAAGCTGAATTAAAGTATGTTTATTTAGCATGGTTCTTATTTTAAATAGTATTCCTATACTTTTGGAAATTTTAGAGGATAAGTTTTCAATATGTTTTTTCCATGTCAAATTTTCATCAATAAAAACCCCTAAAAAATTTGTAGCCGTTTCTCTTTTAATTTGAATGTCATCTATAAAAAGAGCAGGCAATTCACTTGGTAGATGATGTTTTTTGTAGTATGGATGAAAAAGAGACCATTTTGTTTTTTCAATGTTAAGAGAAAGCTTATTTAATTTAAACCATTCTGAAATTTTAATTAATTCTATGTTCATACTTTGAAATAGGGTAATTATGTTACCATGAGATAGAAAAAAATTCGTGTCGTCAGCAAACATAATTGTCATTAAATTAGATGCTTCATAAAGGTCGTTTATGTAAATGAGAAATAGGAGAGGTCCTAGGACAGATCCTTGAGGAACTCCGCATGTTACATCTAAGAAGTTTGATTTTGATGATACGTCATAGTGAACAAATTGCTCTCTATTACTTAAAGAACTTTTTAAAAGCTTCAAAACATTGCCAGAGATTCCATAATATTTAAGTTTTTTGAAGAGAATTTTATGATCTATCGTATCAAAGGCTTTAGACAAGTCAATAAAAATGCCTAAAGTAAATTTGGAACTTTCAAATGATTCAGTAATATATTGTGTTATTTGGAGTATAGCGTGTTCAGTGGAGTTATTTTTTTTAAACCCATATTGATTTTTGTATAGGATATTATTTTGAGAAAGATGATTAAAAATTTTATTATAAAGAATTCTCTCTATAATCTTGGAGAAAACAGAGAGAACAGATATTGGGCGGTAATTACTAACATTAAGTAAGTCTCCACCTTTAAATATTGGTGAAACTCTAGCTATTTTTAATTCATCAGGAAAAATTCCTTGTTGAATTGAGCATTTAAATATTTTAAAAAGGATATTTTTTATGATATTATATGAATCAATGACGATGTTTCCATTGATATCATCAGGACCGACTGCTTTATTTAACTTTAGCATTTTAAAAATCAATTTCCCTGAAATCTGGTTTGCAGGATTTGATTAAGAGCACGTTTTTCGCAACTCTTTCACCATCTAGTAGCATAGCATAAAGAATATATTTTTAACAGCAACAGTAGGAGTTACCCTAAAGATTTTTCATTACAATCTCTTAAATTCTTTTATCCTATTTGTTGTCAAATGCATTATTTTATAAAAGAGTACTAGTGCATTTTTTTATGCTGTGAACCCTTTGATCTACGAATTAAGTAGTTTAAATCATGTGTAGGTGTCTAAGTTCTTGCATAAATCATATTTCTTAAATCAAGAGTAAGCCACTGTGCATGGAAAACTGGGTAAGGTTTTTGCTAGCATTTTTTGTGGATGTAGAATCTATAGCTATTCCAATACAATAGTTATAAAGTTTACGCTGGTCTGTACTCAAATCACTAACAATGTCGGTTGTCACATACAACTCTCTCTATGAATCTATGGGATAAAACTGAATTAAGTTGTTCATATATAAATATGTTAAATGCTTTTTACCAACAGGATTTTTGTAATTTTAAGCATCATTGGTTTTTCCATCTTTTTCAGATAAAACATGCTAAGTTGTAGTTCACACTAGTAATGCAAAAAACCTATTAAATATATGCTACGTTTGAAAAGCTTTTCTGGTTTTGACAAAAAAATTATTATTTACACAAAAGTTAGAACATTTAATTAATTACAATTTAATTTAATTTAATTACAAGAACAATTGCTGCAAAACCTTTAACACTATTATAATCAGTTTTCATATTTTCTATTGTCAATTAGGGCAGTAAATGTTGCTGAAGCCATTGTATTCATTTACTATTTTCTATTATAACGTGTCAGATATTAACCAGAAAAAGTATCATTTTCTAAAAATAAACGAGGTAATTTTTTTATTCGATACAAGACAAGATCCCCATTTTTCTTGTGTTTTGTCACATGAACTAATGGATTTTTATCATTTTTTTCATCAATACTAATGACTTTAAGTTATAAAACTTTTTTGGGATGCCTAGTGTCAATTGAATCATCTACTCGTGCTATTTCACAAAATACCTTAAATTCAGTTATTGCCTGAGACTTTTTGTAGTTTATAAATTTAAGGATTAACTATAATTATATTAACTAAAATTAGAATAAACTTCTAATGTTGTTTAATTGGCTTCCTAGTTCGCTCTTTTTCCAATTTTTTTAAAATCTGTAAATGTCAACACTACTGGTAAAATGAAAACTGCATATACTAATTTTCTGTATTGTAAAATGAAACGTGATATCTCTTTTACGATATCAAACATACCTAAGTGTATTAATTTAGAATAAATTAAAATAATTCAAAAAAATGTTTATTACATTATTAGGTTATTGCAAACCTTATAAAAGTAGAATGGGTAGGGGGTGTTAGTAGATTCGGTAGTGAGTTTTTATCTGTTCGTATAAAATCCTTATTATTTAGAATTTTGAAAAATTCTAATTCTAAAAGTTTTAAAAAATTGTAACAAAATTTTTTAAAAATGTAATAAAGTTTTTAAAAATGGTCTCAAAAATGTTTAAAATAATATTTATATACCTATCTTTACAATCATCAATAAATGGAAAAATGTAGTGAAAAGCAGACAGATCAAACAACATTTCCAGTTTCTTTTCTAGCAAGCCTACGCTGAACCTATGATTTCAAGATTTTCATTTTGTGATTATGATTTCAATATTTTCATATTGTGATTATGATTTCAAGATTTAATCTCATTAGAAAAGTTTTAAAACGCTCTTGAGTTTTTATTTTTTTAATGGTTTTTATCAAAATTTTCTTTTATCAAAAGGAAATTAGATTTAACTCTATAACAAAACGTTTGCAAGTCACTGCTGACGATTTGTCACAATTGGCACAGAGTCAGCTTTCTTTCAACTAAATAAGTTTTTCTCAATCTTGTAACCGTATTTGAATGAGCTATTTGTAAATCGGTAGATTACTCACTAAAATTAGATAAATTTTGGAAATTTGAACAGGGTATAAATAATTATTATTAACATATATTCAAATAAAAACATGATATAAACAACTCAATACAATATTATCACAGTCAGTTCATATCTAACAATAGGTTATCCTGTTCTCATCTGTAGAATCTTTTTAATGTTTTGTGAAACATTTATAAAATGGTAAAAAAATGCTCATAAAGTGCTTTTAAACGGGTTTTTAATGTTTTGAATGTTTAATTTTTCATCTAAATAATGTTTACTAGTTAATTCCTCTAATTTTACCACGTTTTCAAATTCACTTCACCACTGCAGCATTTATTAACGTAATAAATTCGCTATTCAAGTGGTTTTACGCTTGAGTTTTTAATACAAAGGGGGGTGGGAATAAAAGGTGGGGTGGAAATATTAGTCCAGAACTACCAAACAAGAAAAGGTAGGGGAGGGGATTATTTAAAAGAGAAAGGGCTTTTTTTTTATGATACAATATAAGTAATTTTTATAAAAAATTTAAGTTTATAAATTCAATCTAATATTTTACAAAACGCGCGTTAAACTATTTTATTATTAAACTATTAAACTAATTCAAGCGTGGTTTGCGGTCAAATGCGCACTCTAATTTTTGTTTTACCTTATTTTAATAGGACTCAATTTGCTGAAATAAGTTTTACACGTTGGTGCAAAATAAACCAAAAGTACATTTTAGATGAATCAAAAATTACTAGGTCAACGATTTTTACTTACACTAAAAGTTTTTCTTTTTATCAGTGACTGAAATGATTATTTCCTAATTTTTTAGCGATTATATAAATATTTAATATAGCGATTAAATAATATATATAAATATTTGTTGACATTAAGTAAAAATTGATAAAGGTGGGGTCTTAATACACTTGGGTTGGGTCGGAAAGTTTTCTAAAAATTTCAAAACTTCCGCACCCTCCTTTTTAATATGGACTCGAGAGTAATTGCAAGATAACCATTGCATTGTGCTGCTGCAATTTCCAATCAAGACCGTGACTTTCATATCTATCAGCAAAAGAATTTTCCAGAAAACAGACGTTTACTTTTGCTAGAAACCATTGTAAAAAGGTTTTGTCTATCGCAAAAGCTCTCTATTGTTAGGTCATAAAATTTCGTATTTCATCACACAAATAGGCTCTCGTGACTTCTGGTGAATCTTTAAAAGTATTTATAATAAGGGCAAATCTTGTATTCCACCTCCTCTGTATGGTTCAGACTTTGTCTTCTCACCTTAAGAAAAAGTTGAATTGTTTGCCAAGAACTTTTTATCAATATTATCTCTTGATTCTATTAGTTACGTTCTGTTGTTGTGTTAAATGCTTATCAGAGTCTTGTTTTCCAGCATGCTGGAACATGACACCTGACATTTCTAAAGCCTTTGATAAGATTTGGCATGCCGGTTTTCTCCATAATCTTTCTTCATACTGTGTATCTAGTAATATCTTAAAGATTACTAAGTCCTTCTTTTCCAATCCTAGTATAAAAGTTGTCCTCGATGGACAGCACTCTACTTCATATCCTGTAACTTCAAAGTTTCCTCAAGATTCAATCCTTGTCCCTATACTCTTTTTAATATATATTAACGATCTTCCATATATTCTCACATCTAAGGTGAAATTGTTCGCTGACAGTCTACCATTTAATCTTGTCATGATAAGAAACTAACACTGTCTGATTTCTTGGAGGGAGCATCTGAGCTTAAAAAAGGATTTCACTTCTGCTACAGCATGGGGCTCAACTAATCAAATTCTAATCTAATCAAATCTTACTTCAATTCTTGGAAACCGTATTTAAAATCCATTACAAAATTAGCATCTGCTAAGGTTGCATCTGCTAAGGTTGCATCTGCTAAGGTTGCATCTGCTAAGGTTGCATCTGCTAAGGTTGCATCTGCTAAGGTTGCATCTGCTAAGGTTGCATCTGCTAAGGTTGTATCTGCTAAGGTTGCATCTGCTAAGGTTGCATCTGCTAAGGTTGCATCTCTTTATCGAATTTGACACTTTTATACTCCAGATTTTATTTTCTATCTCTATAAATTTCAAATCCGTTGCTGTATGGAATACTGTTGCCATATCAGGGGCGCATCTTCTAATTATGCTCTTTATCTTTTAGACAAGGTGTAAAAAAGCATTGTAAACATAGTTAGGCATGCTCTTGTAGCCAACTATGTTCACAATGCGTTTTTTCAATTTCCAACCATTATCACATTGTCTTAATGTTTCTTCTCTTTCTTATTTCTACAAATATTATAATAGGTACTACTGCTCCAAAAACTCTTATTCTAGTCTAGTTTTTTTCCTTCAACATCAGTACTTTGGAATTCGCTTTCTTCATCTTGATTCCATGATATTTTGCAATCTTTAAAGTTGTTTGCAGCCTTGTTGGAAGCAAAGATAAAAAAAAAAAAAAAACTAAACAATGGAGTCTAAATAAATGATTTAGGCAATTATTAATAATATTAATATTATTTATCCGAATAAATGTGTGACACAAACTATTGATGCTCTTTAAATTAATAGTTCGTTTCAAATATATATAATACAGCTATATATAATATGTATAATACAGCTGCACAATGGATAAAAGTAATGCAGTAAATACATTATATGCTTTTTAAAATAAGTAAACTAACTTGTATCTTAGTGCATTCATATTACTTATGCATATATGGTAACCATATAGAAAAAATAACCATATAGAAAAAATGAGACTATAAACTAACATTTGTTGGACACTTGTTTTAACTAAGTTTTTGGTTTCGATATAGTTAGAGTATTGCAATTATTATTATATATATATATATATATATATATATATATATATATATATATATATATATATATATATATATATATATATATATATATATATATATATATATATATATATATATAATAACTGCAATACTTTAACTCTGGCTTTTTCTTACTTAAATTATGTACATTAGGGAGACACTTACAATATGGCGACAATTTCACGTTGCCTTAATGTTTCTCTAAAGTGACAATACGTCAGCGTTTGGCTCGTACAGTAAGCGTTTGACGGTAGTTTTGTGCGTTTGGGGTTTGTAGGCGTTTGTGTACGCGTTTATAAACTTAAAAAAAAAAAAAAAAATTTTCAAAAAATATTATTTGAAAGACTTTTAAATAAAATAAAAATTCTAAAATGTAGTTAAAAAAACAAAATGAATTAAATTCTAATAAACTTTAAAACATGAAACTAAATGAATTGAAATTGAACCAAAACTAAATGTAATGAAAACAAATGAAGCTCGAAACTATAATAATAATTGAAGCTGTGTTCTTGAGAGTTTCAAGAAAGAATCTAACAACTGTAGATGTTAGATTTTAACAACTGTTTTTCGCAAAACTTTTTAAGTTTATTTTTAAAATCAATTACTGAATTAGCGTTAACAACTTAACTGTCCAAACGATTCCAGTTTTCAACTATACGGTTAGTGAAGAAATGATGCCTCGGCAAAAAGTTTTGAATATACTGCCTTCGCAACCTTTGATTGTGTCCTCTAGTTAGCCTACCCAATACTTCTGGTTCACGATGCCAATTGATAGTATCAATTTTGTTCATGAATTTGTACATTTGGATAAGATCACCTTTTTCCCTTCTCTTTGATAGATTTTGTAAGTCCATTTTCTCTAATCTTTGCTCGTAACTGTCTTTCTTTTTTTTGTAGCCAAATTTTGTAGCTTTTTGCTGAATTTTTTCTATTAAGTTTATATCTTTAATAAAATATGGGTTCCACACTTGAAAAGCATATTCTAAGTGTGGCCGAACGAATGACATATATAACAATTTTGTTGATGTTTCATCTGGATAGAGGATTGCGTGCTTTAACATACCCAATTTTTGATTTGCCTTAGCATTTTTTCAATGTGGTCTTCCCATTTTAAATTGTCTGAAATATAAACACCAAGGTCTCTTTCCAATGACGTTACTATTAGTCCATGTTGAATAATCTCTGTTTCTGTAGCATTATATTTTAAATTATACTTTATTTTCGGATTATCACGACCAAAATGCATGATTTTACATTTATCTTTATTAAAACTGATAAGCCATCTTTTAGTCCAGTTAAATAAGATGTCAAGATCCAACTGTAGAGAGTTATTTATTTTATTTTTTTCTAGAACTGCAATTATTTTTAAATCGTCTGCATATAGTTTTGCTTTATTATTCAACTTTTTTGTTAAATCATTTATATAAATTATAAAAAGTAAGGGTCCTAAGACCGATCCTTGTGGTACTCCACTACGAACTGTTTCCCATTCTGATTCAAACAGTCCCAAAACAACTCTCTGTTTTCGATTTGCTAAAAAAGCTTTACACCATTGCAACAATTTTCCGACAATACCAAATGACTTAAGTTTCAAGAGCAGCCTGGAATGCGGAACTGAATCAAATGCCTTAGAAAAATCTAAAAAGGCAACATCAACACATTTTCCACAATTTATTGCTTCTGTTATTATGTCTAATGTCTCGAGAAGGTTTATTACACAATTTTTTGATTTAATGAATCCGTGTTGTTCTGGTATTAATAACTTATTTTTATTTAAATGGTTCATTATTGTATCCTTAACAATACTTTCCATTACTTTACAAACAACAGAGGTCAATGAAATTGGACGGTAGTTACCTGCATTCAACCTATCCCCATTTTTAAAAATTGGAGTGATATTTGCTTTTAATCAGCTTGTAGGCAATGTTCCAGTTAGAAATGATTGGTTAAATATCATACAGAGTGGTCTAGCTAAACTGTCAGCACACTTACTTAAAAATATTGGATGAATTCTATCGATACCTGGGGACTTGTGCACATTTAGATTCAATAATCGTTTTTTAATATCTTTCTCATTAAACAATGGGGTTGGGCAAATTTTTTCTATTGTATTTTCACATGTAGCCATATTAGTTAGGCTTCCGTTTATGAATACTGAATTGAAAAACCGATTTAACTGATTAGCAATAACTTGACTGTCAGTTGATATTTCATTGTTTTCAATTGAAATTGCTCTTATATGGTCTTTAGCTTTTAGTTTACTGTTAATATAAGCATAAACTTGTTTTGGATTTTTTTTTGATTCTGTTGCAATTTTATTTTTATATTTTTGTATTGTAATTTTTACAAGTTTTTTAACTAACTTATTTTTTAGTTTATATTCTTCCTTAAGATCTAAATTTTTGAAATGAGAGGCTTTGTATCGATACCATAGGTTACGCTTAAGTCGAATTTTGTGTTTTAATTCTTTATTCATCCATAAGGATCTTTTGCTTTCAGTTGCTTTTTGATTAAATGATGGTATGAAATCTTTACAGCCGTATTCAATAGTTGTAATAAAACTTTCATAACACTGATCAACATTAAGTCCAGTAAACTCATGACTCCAGTTAAATTAATTTAAATATTTTGAAAATTCATGATAATTTCCTTTCATGTATACTCGCTTTGTAGTAATACTTTCATTATATATGAGTTAAGTTAAAAACAAATTAAATTAAAAAAGTTTTTTAAAATTTCATTAGAGGAGAAAAAAAATTACCTTATAAGATTTTTCAACTACAACAAAGAAAATAAGTTCGTTTTACGCAAATTTGTTTGCCTTCTAATGTCTTTTTTTCCTATTTATTTTAAATAAGGCTTTGCATTTAATTTAATAAGAAGTTTATAAAAAAGTAATTTAAGATGTTTAAAACTATTTATACATCAAATTCAAAAAATGAATTGTAAGAAAAGAAGGTTTAACACATTTAGTTATAATTTAAAGGCAACGCAGATCAAAGATGAGCTCCTTAAATGTACTATTTGTCAAAGCCTATTTGACATAAGAAGTCGTGGACGGTCTGCAATTGAAGATTATTGCAAATCTATCAAACACAAAATAGAGTTCGTTGCTTATATATCGTCAAACAAAATCACAAAGTTGAAAATGAAAAAATATTAGTCATTCAAGCAAGAACAATTGCATTCCACATAATCAAACACAGACATAACTTTAGAAGTGCTGATTGTATATTAAAGCTAATTTTAAAATCTAAGATTATAAAATTTCTTGTACGCGTACAAAATGTGATGCAATAAATGTAAACGCGTTCAAGAAATATTACGAAACTAACTAAAAAAATGCTTTATTAAAAGCATCAAATGTGTCAATTCTTTCTGATGCATCAAACCGCAAAAACATTAAAATGTATCCATTTTTGGCTCTTTATTTTTATGTTAAAGAGGGAGTGCAAATTCAGCTGATTAATATGGGTTGTGCAAATGAAGAAATATCAAATATTTTATCAGAAGTTATCTTCAAATATATTATTGCTGGCAATATTTCTTTAAAGTTTTGGCCATTTCTGAAGACAACACCAATACCAATATCGGAGGTTTAAAACGAAACGCTAATAACAATATTCATAAAAAAATTGAACCCGTCATTTCGGAAAGGGCACAAGTCCATTTATTCAAACTTTTCAGGATCAACAAAAATAAATCTATTAGAAAAAAAGTCTATGGTGCTAAAGAAATTGAATCTAAGAGTAGATAAATAAAAGTAATACATAAGTTTTTAGAGTTTTATTTATGATAAAAAAACAACATATAACACATATTTTTAATTTAAATTTATGGACTTATGCCTTTTTCAAAATGAACACTTTTTATATATAAAAATCCAAAGATTATAGGAATAATAATGATTTATTATTACATAAAACAATTATAGTTAGTTAATCGTCACTTAATTCATTGTTTGCCGAAGTTGTTGGCCAAGCAAAAATCCTTATATAGAAGTTTTAGTACTCTTCTATTTAATATGGTATATATTTTCCTATTTTTTTGCAAATCTGAAATCCTTTTTTCATTCATATGCAACTTTCCAACATATGCAGGAGTAATACTTAATGGTAAGGTTGACCTTGTACCAAATACTTTGTAATAATTGAAAATCACAACTTACTAAACAATCTATGGATTCACGTGTTGTCACTAAATCTAGTGTGGTCTTACAGAATGTGAAGTGTGACACTTAAGAAATACCAGAAGTAACTTTTTTGTCCTTGGGTAATTCTTTTTCATAGGAATTCACAGATAATACAAGTTTCTTATAATGGTTTGGCTACCATTTTTTTACATCAATAATATCTTCAGCTTTGGGCCTTCTAATTTCAAATTTTTCGCTTGCTTCAGCTATAAGATTTTCATACTCTGTTGGTGTGTAAATCCAATCATTTTTTCGAAATATATTCTATCGTTTGGCAAAAATGAGTGACCTCTATTTGGTATGTAATATTGTGTCTCATTTATATTGCTATCTAGTTCAGCTACCAGTGATAAAATTATTCGGACCATGGCATGATTTCTGGTTTAACCATCAGAAAATAGGTGCAGTTCTTTGGCTTTGTTGCCAATATTTTTTAAAATATAATCCAGCACAAAGGCACATACTTCGTTGGAACCTTTGTTAACCGTTAACAACTCCTTCACAGTATAAATAAAATACTAATTTACCAGTTTTAAAATCATATATGAAAAGCTCATACAGCGATATTTGACGTAAATAAAGTATTTCCTGGACAAGGATATGTGGAAGTGGCAAATTTTGCATAAAATCAAATGCAATCCCATACACATTTAGATCGTTTTTGCACTTAGTTTCAACTTCCTATATTTTTTTGTGAAATTTGTTTGCTTGTTTTTTGTGGATCTCAATATCTGCTTGATAGATTCTTTTTGCATTGTCATTAAGGTGTGGGTTTTTTAATTTAATTTTTAACTCTTCGCACAGTCCACAGACATCTATTTGCTTTCTACCAAACAATAAATTAAAATTTTCTTGGAAAAATTTTAGGTAGAATTTATATTTAACAGGATGATTTAGATATTTTTGTGCATATAACGTGTGCATAATTTTCACATTGAGTTTTTCATCTAAATAGTAAGATGGTGCATCTTCACAATAGTAGTGCACATATTTAACAGGAAATGATTCGATATGCTCACGTACTTTTGTTTATGTATCTCCAGGTAATGCGCTGCATCCTAATCCCTGAGATTTACCTCTGTGATCTATGGGCTGCTCTTTCTTTTTAATAAAATGAATAAACGTCTAACTTGTTTCATAGAAGTTCTATGAATGCTGCAAAAAGTTTTCTTGCATACTTTTTTTATTACACTTTCAACCTTATGCGTAAAATAAAATAAAATTCTTTTTCCTTAGATTCTTCAGATTTAAACCGCTTTCTCTTTTTATCCTTCTTTTCAATCAATAACTGCAAGTATGTGTCTTGGGCATTTTTACTATCAAATCTGTTAATAAATTGAATTATACTTTTTATAACATCTTCAGATACAAGCTCCATACACTTCAAATTACATCTGTATATAAATAGAGTTATTGAGTTAATATTATAATAATTATATATCATGGTGTTTTACCTACAATTATTGGTGGTAAAACATGAGTAAATAAGCAAATATTTGAGAACGAATTTAGTCATTCTATATTATAGAGCAAAAAACTAACCTGCAAGAAGCACCCGTTTTCCTTGGTGCCACATCATCTCCTTTGTGGTTTTTATAAGCTTCTCTATCAATTTTAATTTTTTTATTTTTTTGTGTTTATAATTTCCACTGTTTTTTATACCAGACACTTTCTAGATTTATATGCATTTTCAGCGAGCTCGAGATTTTTCTATTTTTGTTATAAATAAAGTGAGATAAAGTCACTACAGTTGCACTTCGCTTCACTTGAAAAAGACATATGTCGGGGACTTGTGTCATTTTCAAACAGACTTTAATTTTCATTTGCATTTAAAGTTGACTTATGGCATATAAAAATGTTTTTTCTTCAAAGGGAGTATGTAAAACACTTCAATAAATAAAATTGCATCAAAAAGTGAAATTCGAAAAATGTGTAACTTGTGCCCTTCTTGAAATGACGGGTTCAATTAATCGTTAAGCTAAACCGTGAAATCATTGGAATGCTCCTATATTATTGCTTGGAATGCTCATATATTATCAAACACAATAGGCACTGCATCTGATTGTTTATTTATTGATGTGAAGATAATTATTTCTAAAGTTTATTAATTTTTTTTTACCATTTTACTGTTCAAGGTTCTAGTTTAGAAAACTTCTGTGATGAGATCGATGTGGAATCTCATTTAAATCGATATATTTGCTGTTAGTTAAAACAACAACAAGAAATTACCATTAAATAAAAAACCAGGCATAAGCAAGAAGAAGACAAATTGTCTCATCCTTGAGCCCCCGTTAAACTGTTTTGTAAACGTTTTAAATATTTACATGCGAAATAAATAATACACAAAAAAATATTCACAATATATATACGCAGTATACACAAAAGCAAATATACACAATATATATACGCAGTATACTCAAAAGCAAAAATACGTAGTATATTTGTTACATAGTATATACCCAAAAAAATTTAAAAAAAAACTTTCAAAATGAAACATAAAATTTTTTAATAACAATATTGCTATACAATATTGCAACAATATTTTAGCAACAATCTTCTATATAATATTGCCGAACTTAATAGTTTTAATAGTAGTAGTAGTAGTGTCCCTTGGAGCGTAT